GAACATTTGTGCGGCTTCCCATAGTTGGTGTTACACTAACTAATATTTAGGGGCTAAGACCGAAAATTAGCACACGTGTGCAGGCGGCTCGGCTGACTCAATGATAAAGCCACTAAGCCAAAGGTATGCGACCCATGGGCAATTGAACGCACACACGCACACACGCACACACACATGTTAGCATTTGAATATATGGATATACCCACATGCATATCGGGTATATAGCACACATATATGCCCATCAATATCCCACCCACAGCCCTTCGGCGAGTTGCCTGTTTATTTAGCCACAGCTGGCAGCCCGATGACGACGAAGACTTATCAATGGGTCCCATCTGTGTTAATGATGCCATGGCGCTCTGATAACCGTTAGGTATCAGGCCGTACCGGCACGTGTGCCCTGTCTGCCAATCCATGTGTGTGTGTGCTTGTGTGTGTTCGTGTGTGGGGTGTGGCAGTCATTTCGTATGCCCCCATTCCTCCTCCACTCCACCACTTGGTGTTTGTATAATATCAGCTGTGATAAAACCTTTGGTAAACTTGAGTCCATCGGGCAGTCAATCGTCAGCTTTGCTACAAAGTCGTTAACCCCTTTTGGTAGGTAATGCAGCATGATTGATTTATCACTAGGGTCGACCAGGGTCCATTCGCGAGCTGCTGCAGTTCACAAGGGGCCCATAACTTAATTGACTAGAGTGCGACTGTGACTGCGACTGCGACTGCGACGGCGACTGTGAGTGTGAGTCTGGGTGTGGGTGTGACTACGTGTGGGGAGGCCTTGAACGGTGTTTACTGAATCACATCATTTCACTATTTTCATATTGATCGATCGGTTTTACGAGGCCTCAAAATACCTTTAATAATGACTCCAGTGCTTATTTGCTGAAGGGGGAGCTTCCACCGAAGCTATTAGATAGAGACATATGTATGTTTTTGTTGTATGAGCTTTTAGGGGGGTCATGGAGGATAGGAATTGTAATCAAATAGATAAATAGATGTATGTAGTTTATTTACTTAATATACACATACCCCTACTATATGTTTATTGCTAGATTATTTTCAGTTTATGGCCCAACAATATCATCTCTGTTCTTTCAGCTATGCATAAGTCGACAAATCTCAATTAATAATCAAATAATGGATATATTGTATTTAGCTAATGTATATATCTACATAAATGTGTAAGCTTGTCATATAAATATCACTAGTATAACTTTGGTCTATCGTCAAGCAGCAATTCTCTCAACTATCGATTATTAATTATCGAAAATTATCACTCAATTCCACTCATTATCAAATTGCAACTATCGACAAACTATCAGCACATCTGATCACATTATTATAGATCGACACATCTTTTCTTTCGCCTATCAATAGTCGCTTCAATCTATCGCCTATCGATACATCGATGTTGCAATTCCCTGCGCTTAGCTCGCAGAGCGTACTCGAACATAAATACTTGAGTGTGTTGTACTGGGACATGTGTTGCCGGGCGCCATTAAGCGCCACACACATGTCATACATACATACCCACATATATTGTATAGCCCATAGCCTTTTCCTTCCCCGTCTCCTACTCTTGCTCCGTCTTCTACTCATCTATCGGCCCCCATTTGTAGGACGCTTGGGGCAATCTGAAGTGCGGCACTTCAATTCCAATTCGACAGCAGCCAATTGCAAATCGCAGATGAGACAAGAACAAGGCTCGGGGGCGCACTCCAAATGGCAGTTTTTGTTTTGAAGATGTCCTGCGTGTTTTTTGTTTTTTTTTGTTTTTGTTTTTGTTGCTGCTCCTGTTCTCGCCTGTTTCTGTCAGCTTGCCTTATCCACTTGGGACACGAGGCAGCTGCAGCGCGGGGGTCGCTACGGGGCATAAACTGACATACAGTGCAGCTTTTGTTGCTGATGTTGTTGTTATTGTTGTTATTGCTGGCGGTGCTCCAAGGCCCCTTCACATATCCTGTGCAGAAATTGAAAAACTACTAGAGCTAACTTCAATTGAGACGTGCTGCTGCTCGTCCGAGCCTGGCCTGGCCTGTCCAAGCCACGGAACGGACACTATGATTGAAATTCCGAGCACTGCTCGAGGCGCCGCATCCCCACCAGCCCAAGGGAACAATCCGATAAACACTTGAATACAAAACCGTTTGATGAGTGAACGAACAGCGAACGGACAGCTCTTGTAGGCTCTAGATGCTCGCATTACAACTAATTACGACGAGGATGAGCACGGAGACGTGGATGGGCCCAGGGACGGGGACAGAGGCAGGGACAGGGCGCAACGAAATCAATATCGAAATTGTGCGCGCTACGCCTTTCAGTGAGGCCATTTCGCCATTTCGTTTCGTTGGCCATATGCTCGAGCCGGGTCGAGGCGGGTCGAGCCGTGTTAGTCTTAATTACAGATGAAGATGCGCTTCGATAAGGCTACAAAGCGAATGGCCTGGAAGCTGGCCGCCGCCAAAGGAAAAACAAATAAATATTTACAGTGCGCACTCGCATTTAATTGCCCTGCGGTTGGGTCGCCACTCGCTGACCACACAGCCCTATGGCATATGGCGCTGAAATGTGAGTAGCGGCTCACTTTGGTGGTTGCCACGTGAGTTGCAATGGACAGACGGTCGTTGGCAGGCCAAATCAGCTGGCCAAAAAGACGAAACCATTAAGAGATCCTTTGCTCAGTTAGAGCATGCCCGTGTTACAGCTGATATTTTGCAGTTGCCGGAATGTAAGTGAACACGTATATCAATTTGGGGTTGGCTCTGCGAACATGAAATATGAATTATGGGATTTTCAGCTGATTAAATGGCGTCATCTTCGAATAGATCTAAAACAATCGTAGGGTCAAAGTTAACGGAATTTGGCAATTGGATGTGTATTTTATAAATATTTGCTTACTCATTCATTTAATTTATTTATTTTCTTTATTTCAAATGATTTCAAACCAATTTCCAATTTACCATCTCTTATGAGTATATTAGTATATTATGTAAGGTATGGTATTAGTGAGTCTGGTAGTATTTTAGTATATAAGTTGTATTAGTTGAAATTCACAATTACCTGAATGTGTGGCAAATATTCGATACTAGATCTTCCACAGTCTTTAATCTCTAGCGCGAAAATAGAGTTACATTACTGTAGATTCTCGCTTAACCTGATTATATATTTATTCATGCTAACTGGAATTTTAAGGAACCGCAACTATATTCTTTTTCTTCTTTGTGGGAAGTAGAATCTTCCGCTCTTTCAGTTTGCTCGCTGTTGAGATGATGATGAAACGAGGAAAGTCTGAAAATATTGATTTAAAACAAAGTGAACTGTTTTTGAAAGGAATAATATTATATAATATTTAAATATAATAAAAGAAAAAAAAAACAATATACTCATTTCACTTTCGTGAATGAGTATATAATATAATATTTATAATACAAAAGTAATAATCATAATTTTATAATAACTTCTAATCAAATTGAAAGTATATTGGTTCTGCTACAGTCCTATTCGAAGTGTTCACAAAATGTCATTCACTTGAGCTAGAGAGTTGTCATCTTTCAGTAGCATGAAAACTGCAATTTGTTTTGCTTACGTTTGGGCTTTGCACATGAAATGTTATAAGAGACAATATTTTCATTTCGAATAATGGCTCAGCACCTTGCTGTGTACTTCGCTTCCATTATCGCACACACACACACACACACACACACAGCCAAAAGGCAAAAGGGAAACGCTGAAGAAGAGAATAAAACATGACGCAATAAAGACGTTTACATTGGCCTGAGACATGGGGTTAGGTCTGTGTCCTTTTCGCTAAGGATGCGCCTCACTGTTGCTGATTCTTTTTGTTTGTTTACTTTTTATTTACATGCGGCGCAAGTAATTTTTATATTTGCACAATAAATGTGGCAGCCTAATTGAGTTAGAGGCGTTTCGTGTGTGTGTGTATGTGTGTAAATACAGCAAAAGTGACACGAGTCCTTGAGCAGCACACAGTTGCCTCCTCCATTTGTTTGTCTTCGCTCTGTCACAGCAAATGTCTCAAGCCAAAGAAAAATAATCTGCAAAATGTTTCACTAACAACTCAAGTGAGCTCTGAAGTATTCAAGTTAACTTTGCAATCTGTTAAGCCGCTTAGGTTTTTGATGCACATTCAAAAATCATTTGCAAATTTTCATATATGAATCAAAAATAATCCTAATCGCAAAATACTGTTAAAAGTTTTTCATTTAAATTTTGTTTTTTTAATGTGCTACATTTGCATTGATGTTTTATGGATTATGTTTAAGATAGAGCTGAATATCTTATTTATTTTTAAATCAATTTTTGATTTTTGTTGTAATAAATTTGCATTGAAATATATATTCTTAATATAGGGCTACGTAGGACTTCAGCTGAAATATGGTTGATTGTGCAAGCGAGAGAGAGAGAGGTAGATAGAGGGAGATAGATAAGGAAAGAGGGAAGTAGAGAGGGAGGTAGACAAAGAGAAAAAGATATAGAGAAATGGTAAAAGAAAGAACATTAGCTAAAAGCTTTCAAGAAGGCTCAAATCAAATTCATAAAGTATTTTCGTAAACAAGGTACATACATGGATTAATTTCTGGCATTTTGTTTAATTTAAAACAGATTGTGACTAAAATATCAAATTATAATAGATGAAAAATTTCCAATATCAAGTTCTATCAGAACCAGAAAAGGAGAACGCATGCAAGAAAGATTCATATGTGTCATAATTTTAGCTAGACACTTACCAAATACCAAAAATTATTATTATATTAAACATTACATTATATTATTATATATATATTTAACAAGAGGCTTGAAACATTTATTGTGGATGCTTAAAATTGACCTAACTAAATGCCAGAAAGCCAAGATACGCACTGATTACATTGAGTAACACAAAGTGCCCCAACGATTCTTAAGAAGAGTATTAAGAACCTTAACAAATCAAGTGTGATCCATAACGTCACAGCTGTTAATGGTTTATGGCCTATTTATGGCGACATTGACAATTTGTCGTCTAGGAGGAGCAACGTTTGTGGTTAGCAAATATGCATAAGACGAGCCTCGTGCTCCACTTGTTGGCCGGTGTGCATCTTGGATATACGGTCTACTATGAGTACTTATATGTGCAGATGCCATACCTAGCCATTTATTTTGGAGTGCTGCCGTCCGTGGGTGGCAAATTTAAGTACCTGACCTTTCTCAACGGAGTGCTGCAGTGCATTTACTATCTGATCGCCATTCTGCACGATCTGCTGAGGCTGCGCAGACTGCGCCAGCTGCGGGACTATCTGCTGGCCAGCCTTGTGCTGCCGCTGGCCCTAACTGTGAGCTTGACCTTCTGGACGCTGTGCGTCATCGATGGCGAGTCGATATTTCCGTCCTTTATTCAGGTGATCTATCCCGAGTGGCTCAACTGGACCATGCATTGCGGTGTCTCGATCTATCCGTTCCTGGATCTGTACATCAGTGCGCATCAGTATCCGAAACGTAGCCATGGACTTTCGGCCCTCACGACTGCCCTCCTGCTTTATCTAATTTGGATGTATTACGTGGTTTACTCCACGGGCAAATGGATCTATCCGTTCCTAGGAGCACTGTTGCCGGTGACACGGATTTGCTTCTTCGCTGTGGTCATAGTGGCGGCCTTTGGCTACTACCTGGTCGGCGAGCGTATAAACTATGCGCTCTGGAAGTCCTCCAGGGAGAGTGGGCCCTAAGGAATGGTTCCTAATAAAGCAATTTCCGTTTCTCCAATTCATGTTGACTGCTTTGGGGGGTTGGGGGTATTAAATTTGCATAGAAATGCGCTGAAGTCGACTCGCTGCTCGAGGGCCAACGGAAATTGAAGGCAATAATAATGACAATTGACTTGTCAAAATGTTACGAGTGCGAGAGCTCGAGTAAAGCAAAAACCAAGCCCAAAAACCAAATGCGAAGCGGACTGTGCTGTCCGTGCCAAGGGTTGGCCTGCACTTTTGTCAAGGTTTGAGGTTTGCTTCTTTTCTTTTGCGGTCGTCGAAGCGTGGAATTAACTCAAATCGATTCGCTGCACTCGAACTCAAGGGACGTGGCAATGCTTAGGGTTATAAACGTAGAATCCACTTTAGGGTTTTTCAGTTTTTCAATTGTTACAGTCGAGTCGGTTACCGAAAACCTTGACCATGACAAGTGTATGATAATTGCATAGTGTGAGTGCGTGCATTTGTGTGTGCTCAGAGTGTAAGAAAATTATATAATTTGTTCCCATAGATTCTGGTAAGGCACTATTGAAAGATAAAATTCAACGGGCCCCGAATTGTGGCTCACAATTACAAAACATTCACATATGAAATTTTCATTTATTAGCGTAGGTAGAGTTAATACTAACCTAATTTATCTAAATGTTAAAAAGAATTCCATTTGAATACGATTCTAATTTAATTTTAGAGAACTTTTTAGATATGTAGTATTGATTTTATATTTTCGATAATTTCAATTTGTTAAACACTAAAGAATCTCTTTATTTCTAATTGTCCACGTACTCAAAAAAAAAAAAAAAAAAAAAGAAAGTTCAGCTAAATAAATTTAACTAATTGATTCAATCTTTAAAAAAAATATAAAATAAAATAAAATAAATAAATAAAAATATATAATAAAATAAGATATAATAATAAGTAAAATAAAATAAAATAAATCAAAAAAAGTGCTCCATAAGTTAAGAGCTCCTTGAACTGATAATCGAAATGTGTTTTACGGCAGTTAGAGCTAAACAAATCGATTAATATGAACTGATTGTTGCGAATGCATTTCTCATATTCGATGCAATTAGTCAACCCCCTTTGCTTTCTCGTTGTTGTTGTTGTTGTGAGCGAATGCCAATTCGGATATTCACTTCGATACAGATTTAGATACATAAATCATTGGCCGGCAGCTGTTTTTGGGTCACGTGTAGAGCTCGCTCGGGAGTCGAAATTCAGCTGTGAATTGCTGAGAAACAGCTGAAAAGGTTGGCTAGAGCAAACCCCGAACATGCGTCCCTCAATCCTTTCAGCTTCAGTTCGAGGCTCGTTTGGGTTTCAACGGAAAATGGGAAATGGTAAATGGAAAACATGCGGCGCACCCACACGCGGCACTTGTGCTAAAAATATTTCAATATTGAATGGGAACAGCTGAAATGCATTCGCACACACACACAAACACACACATTGGGAAAGAGAGAGAGAGAAGGTCGCATGCCTGGGATTTGTTTATGGCAGGCCGGAACCAGTCGAACGTTACCGGAAACGTGTTTCATATGTCAGAGGAAATGCTGTTAGCTGCCTGCGTCTGCGCCTGCGCTCGCTCATGAATGGGCATTGGCAAGGACATGACAAGGCAACGGGACTCGGGGCTCGGTGCTGAGAACGATGAGAAGAGAAGCACTCAGGTACTCGAGCCCAGCATGCAAATGAACCGACAAAAGAAACACTGGGAACGAGGGCATCAATTGAGTCATATGGCATCGGGCGCATGCCTGCCTCAGGGGCTGCTGAGAGGATGTGCCAGGATCTGTGTCAGCTGTCGATCGTGCAGTCGCTCGACCCCGGGTCTGGCTCAGTCTGGCCTCGCATTGTTCACTTCCACGCACGATTGATTCAATTGGCGTGCTACCCCTCCCCTCTCCACCTCCTGTAGCTACACATCAACGAGTCAGCCGTTGCGGTCTGTATGTCGGATAGCTTTTATTTCACATGTGTGTGTGTGTATATGTGTATATATATTTTTTATTTCGATCTCTCCGCCCCGGCCCGCCTCGCCTCGCCCCGTTCTCAATAATTTGTGCAAATATTTTGTGAGCCGCTGGCAAACAATGGGATGCTCCTTTGTGTCTTCCTGCTCGCCGCACACAAATTGTCAATTTGTCACCCGCGTGAATTGCAGAGCCGTCCGCATGGCATGCAGCAAACAGTTACAACAATTGCCCGATGCGAGTATCTTTCAGCCATCGTGCCGGAAAATTGTTTATTTATTGTTATTCATCGCCAACGTCGACCTCGTCGCCATCGCCGTCGCCGTTGCCGTCGTCGGCTCTCACAATGCAATTTCACGTTTAATTGCGTGCGTCTGTTCTACCAAACGATTTTATAACTCTGAAACTCGCAGCGGAGCGAGCAAAAAATGCAGGCTGTTTGTTTTACCAATCACACACAAGTACACACAAACACATACACACACAGGTAACATTTTAATGATACGGCCAAACAATGCCCAGACTTGTGCGAGTGAGCCGTACGCATATAAGTAGATAATGATATTTCATACCCTGCCACAAGCTGTGCATAGGAGCGTATCAAACATTTATCTGCTTTAAGAGTTTGTTCGCATAGCCAAAGAATCGAGTCTATATATGCTACATAGATTGAATATATAGTACATATATTGATTGAAAACCAGAGCTTGTTTGATAATAATCAATGCTATCTGCGGTAGGGTTATATATTTCACTATTTCATTATTTTGTTATAGATTATAGAGATTGATTAAACATTTTGCTGAGGAGTTGATAAGTGCAGGAGTTTGAAAGTGATCAGAGCTCTCAGTCTATATATAGATATACTTACAGTAGAATCCGGTCATAACGACACTCAAGGGACCGTCGTTATACTCGGAAGGCGCTATAACCGTATAAGTCTTCTCATAAAAGTTTGCCTAGGGACCAGAATTTTCATCGCTATAGTCGTACAGACGCTATAAGCGGAGTCGTAATAACTGGATTCTACTGTATATTTTTTATTCATTGCATTTAGGCAGAATTTAGTAGTATATAAAATATATAAATATCTAGGCATATGTAAATATATATGCATAAAGATATTTTTGATCATTGCTCATATTTCAGCAGGAATAAATATTCCAATATAAATATCATATATTAAAAAAATATAATAGATACATATTATGTTTAAAAATTTATAAATAATATAAATAATAAATATAAATTAATATGTTATATAATATATTTATATTTGTAGAATGTAGATGCCACATATAATTTAAAAATTTTTAATTTTGTAGCTATTGCTTAAAATAGAAAAAGAAAATTACAAGTACAACTCAACTTAGAACCATCTTGAAAATGTCAGCTGAGGTTTGACTGCAAGAATATTCTGCTCAGATTTGCAACAAATAGTTTAATGAGACGAGTCAATTTGAGCAAAAGTCTTTCAGACGACTCTTTCATATCTCAATGAGCGGAAGTTTCATTTCAAAGATATTCAATTCCGTTTTGCTTGAGCTGAATTCGTGAACGTTGCCTGTAATCAGTCTTGAAGCGTCTCCTGCTGTTGTTGCTGCTGCTGCTGCTGCTGGTGTTCCTTCAAAGACAACGATTCCCCTTAGTGCACCCGTTGCATCATTCATCGGCCCCCTATCTCGCATAACCCCCCGTCCCCTCCATCCGCCCATCGCATTGTCTTCTGTCAGCATTGATTAAACTTTCTGTCTGCGCTTGTCTCGCACGACGCGTCGCTGCTCCCCGTTGCATGCGTGAAATTTCGCCCATGTTGCACAAATTGATGTTGCATGCCGCTGACATTGTTGTTGCTGTTGTTGTAGTTGCTTTTGCAGTTGCCTGTGCTTTTGTTGTTTCGCTTGCTGCTGCGATGGTGGCATGTTCGCGAAAAGTCATGCGATTTCCTCCGACGTGCGCAATTAGGGTGGGGATAGCCGACCCCTGACAAGACGACCCTCCTTGTCGGTCGACCCTACTCACAGGGGGAAACTTGTTTTCAATTTTTTTACGTCTTTTCTTCTTCTTTTTCGTTTTTTTCTTTTTTTTTCTGTAACTTCAGTTAAGTATTCAACTGCTGGCGCACACTATTAACCCAATTAATTGCAAAAGTTTAGCAGCTCTGATTAGAATCAGCTGCAAACATGATGACTACAAAGCGTTACGACACAACAGCTCCAAACATTGGCGAACTCATGTTTATGCTTAATCACTTCGATAAGGTTACAAAAGATACAAAAAGAAACAAAACAAAATTACAAATGACTTGAACACACAGATAACAGAGAGCATTTAATGCGCTTGTCAATTAAATATTATTTTTAAATTATATAAAAAAGTTAAAATACTACAAGATAATAATAATAATAATAAAATAAAATATAATGAATTATTTTAAATTAAAATATAATAATCATATAAAGTTCGTATAATAATTCCATAATTCCATCAATTTGTTTTCATTCATATAAAATATAAGCTCAGTTATTTATAAAAAAAAAAATTTTCATTTTAATAGCTAAAAAATCAACATATAAGAAATTTATATATTTAATATTTGATATGAAATGCTTCGCAAACCAAACTCTTTTCAATTAATAGAATAAATGAAATACCTGCCACTCTACGACTCTGGTATACATGCAAAATGTCCAATTTGCATAGATTCCATTCAGTTGCCAGCTGAGCGGCAGGATTAAAGATTCTAAACTATATAATATTTAAATGGAAAGGCAGGCAGCGCCATTTGCCCTTGTCGTTGAGCACGTTTGAGAGTGATGCGAATTTTTTCGCATACATTTGTGAGCAGAAGAAAAGAAAAATTTGTAAACATCGTTGAGTGGGGATTCTGTGGGTGTGTGCGAAAGAGACAGAGAGAGTGAGAGAGAGAGAGAGAGATGGAGGAGTAGGCAACATGTGTTGGCCGTGCGAAGGGATTGGAGCGTGGCGTATCACGATTGCGGCAATCAACAAATGGAGCGGCAACCTCATTAGTCAAAAGGAGGGAACAAAGCGCCGCAAAGAGGAATCACAACACAACCTACGAAGCCCCCCTCGCACTGCACAGGATAGCATGGCAGAGCTCAGCTCAGCTCAGCTGCCAACCATTTGTACAGCTCCTCAGCGCGGTTGTCGGCCTGCAAAGAGGATGTGCGGCATATGTGGCCACATTAGTCAGTGGGTCGCTGAGTGGGTGAGCATGAGCATTCACTTATAGATACAGTAACAAACATACACACACACACACACACACACACACACGCATACACTCGTGTACACACGTGCGTGCTCGCGAAATGGTCTCGTTGGGGTAAACGCAGCGGAAATTGTAAATTTTTTACTTGCAAAGCGAAAAAAATAAATCATATGCGTGAAATGTTTGCAATGCCAACGAATATACCTCCACGATGGCACACAACGGACTAACAGGACAGCAGCAGCAGCAGGTGCACAGTGGCGCCAAGTCTATAGAGAGAAGCCAAAACTACGTTGGGCGTCAACTCAATAT